CTCTAAAGGACTGTCATTTGTTCCCCAGCGTCCGTTTGTTGATGAATTTCAAGCTAGACGTGATTTGGAACAATTTTACCGTAGACTGCGTCTAAAAGCCCATTTTCACAGACAATCGACTTCTACCTCATCGGACACTGACCTTACCTTCAGTAAGACTAGATTTTGCAGTCATGTTAATTTTATGTCTACATGCATTCGTTCGAACCTGATCCCGTTTGGATTCCGCTGCAATTGGAAGCCGTCACTTGGTAACGTGAATCCTAAAGTAGTATCTAAGAACATTGAGATTTGCTCTAAGCGCCTTAGTCTTCATTCATTTAGAAGAGATTGCAGAATACACAATGATAGGATGATTTATTACCGTAACATTTTGCAGTTATCTTGCGATTCATTTGACTTCAATTGTATTCGCCAGCAGATTCACCGCCTCAACAGACAATATTACCAATGCCTTACAGAGACCAAACGATCTAAGCTCAACAGACTTAAGTCCGAATCTGCTCGTGCTAAACCTGTATTTACTGACACTAACACTTCTAAGCTGGTTGTGAGTATTCCATCTGATCTATCACTCACCGAAGATGAACGATCAGTTCTCTCTAAAGGACTGTCATTTGTTCCCCAGCGTCCGTTTGTTGATGAATTTCAAGCTAGACGTGATTTGGAACAATTTTACCGTAGACTGCGTCTAAAAGCCCATTTTCACAGACAATCGACTTCTACCTCATCGGACACTGACCTTACCTTCAGTAAGACTAGATTTTGCAGTCATGTTAATTTTATGTCTACATGCATTCGTTCGAACCTGATCCCGTTTGGATTCCGCTGCAATTGGAAGCCGTCACTTGGTAACGTGAATCCTAAAGTAGTATCTAAGAACATTGAGATTTGCTCTAAGAGACTTATGCGCCTTAGTCTTCATTCATTTAGAAGAGATTGCAGAATACACAATGATAGGATGATCTATTACCGTAACGTTTTGCAGTTATCTTGCGATTCATTTGACTTCAATTGTATTCGCCAGCAGATTCACCGCCTCAACAGACAATATTACCAATGCCTTACAGAGACCAAACGATCTAAGCTCAACAGACTTAAGTCCGAATCAGCTCGTGCTAAACCTGTATTTGCTGACACTAACACTTTTAAGCTGGTTGTGATAATTCCATCTGATCTATCACTCACCGAAGATGAACGATCAGTTCTCTCTAAATGAGTGTCATTTGTTCCCCAGCGTCCGTTTCTTGATGAATTTCAAGCTAGACGTGATTTGGAACAATTTTACCGTAGACTGCGTCTAAAAGCCCATTTTCACAGACAATCGACTTCTACCTAATCGGATACTGACGAGTTCTCTAAGCTTCAACCACGAGCCTTTGTTTGGACTCCTCCAGCAGGTAAATTTAGAGCTCTTGACTTTTATATTGATAAATGTCGCCACGACATTTCACAATTGGACATTAAACGACGTGCCAAAGTGTCTACTCTTTCTACTGGTGAAAGGAAAGCTTTTATCAACCTTCGTAATAATCGGAATTATGTGATTAAACCGGCAGATAAAGAAGGTGCTACTGTGGTCTGGCTCCGTGATTTGTACATCCTAGAAGGACAGCGTCAACTCTCTGATCGTGACACTTATTTCCACTACCTGATGATCCTATGTCGGATGAACTTAACCTGGTTACTAATACTATTCACAATATGATCAAGGATAATGATCTACCGTCTAGCGCTAAGGTTCTCGTCAACAAGGCTCCTACTTGCTCCAAATTCTACATGTTGCCCAAGATTCACAAGAAGAATTCAACTGGTCGCCCTATTGTTTCTACCTGCAATTGCCCTACTGTTGTTATCAGTCAATTTCTGGGCTCTATATTCACGCCGATTGTTCAAACTTTGCCTACGTATATCAAGGACAGCAGTGAAGCCATCCGTATTTTCAACCAATTTTATTTCACTGGTGATCACAAGTATGTATTTACTATGGACGTTCGCTCTTTATACACATCTATACCTATTGACGACGGTTTAAATGCTCTTAAACATTTCTTAGAGAAAGATAATCCATCTAACTGTTCTACATCTTGCCTCATCCGACTTGCCGAGTTAGTTCTTAGGACTGCATCTTTTTCATTTAATGGCAACTATTACCGACAAATCTCTGGCGTTAGTATGGGAACTCGCATGGGGCCTAGTTTTGCTTGCTTGTTCATGGGCTATTTAGAAGAACAGATATTTGCTCGATACTCTGGAGCTACACCTCATCTTTTTAAAAGGTATATCGACGATGTTGTTGGCACTACCTCGTGCTCACTTGATGAACTGAATGATTTTATTGATTATGTTTCGAACTTTCATCCAGCCATCAAGTTTACCTATGCAATCTCGTCCACACATGTTACTTTTCTCGACATTGAACTCTCTATTTCTGATATTCGCCTCTCGACCAGTGTGTTCTACAAATCTACCGATGCACATACGTTCCTGAATTATAAATCCTCTCAACCACCATCGTGTTAGGATGCTATTCCTTACTCTCAGCTCCTTCGTCTTAAACGCATATGTACTGATCAGGATGATTTTCAACGACGAGCTACTGAAATGATCTCATTTTTCAAGGATAGAGGATATCCTACTCACATAACTGATAATTCTTTTAAAACGTATTGCGCACATGACTCAAGATGAAGCTCTACAACCTCGTACGCATGTTGACGCTGATCGAATACCCATCGTCCTGACTTACCACCCTACGACTACCAAAATCTTCACCATTTTAAAGAATAATTTCGATATACTTTTATCAGATGAAACCACCAATCTCCCAATCTACTCCACTTCGTTCATATAGAAATGATAGGAGTTTGAGAAACAGTCTCGTCAGCTCATCCCTCAGGTCTACTGATGACTGTTCAGGATCGACTGTTTCATGCCATAGGCCTCGTTGTAATACTTGCGCACACATCTACTCCACCAATATTCTTAAAGGACCATCCGGCACTCGTGCTATCAAGGACACTTTCTCATGCACTTCCATCAATATCATATACGCTATTATATGTATTAAATGTAATCTTGTATACCTATGTTTACCTATTGCGTCGCATTTTAGTCATAACCACAGTAAAGAAGATATCAAGATCACTGGTGTTTCTCTTTGTCAAGGATCCGACACTATTAGGAAAAACTTGGAGCAAAAATTGATTTTTAAATTAGGCATTATTGCTCCCTTTTAAGATTAAATTTCTCATCTTGTTTGGATTTGGATTTGGATTTTGGACCATGTGTTTGATTATTATTGCTTTTATTTGATCAGCTCTTTTTATTTTTTTATTTTATTTATATACTTTTTATTTTTATTTTTTTTTCTTTTCGTTTTCATTTTTATATTCATATAGTCCTATATATTTTTTCTTCTTATATATAGTTTATATATTTGTATATGATTTTTACCATAGTATATTTTTCCCGCGTTTTTATCTTGACTGCTTGTTTGTAGCCTGGCATACGCCCTTAAGGCTATTGTACTTTTTTCTGTTATAGCGTTGCTTCACGTCATATGTTGCTTTGTCTTACGTCCGTTATATTTGTATATATTGTTTTTCTTTTTTTTATGCTGTACACCTGATGACGTTTGTGAATCTTCTGTATTAAAATTTGGCAAATATATACCTTGTTCCTGAGTTTTATTTGATATATATCTACACTTTGCCAAGCAGCTACTTCTGATTTTCCTGTTATATTACATTTTACTGCTGCAACCTCTGGATTTTCTTTTGCTTAATGTATTTTTTGTGCTGTCTGTCTTTCTGATGCCTGATCCTAAACGTGTGTTACTTTATATTCGATGTGAAATTAATTGTTTTTTGAAACGCTACCCAGCCACTTTGGAGTATCTGGCCTTTTCGTTTGCAATGGCTACCTTCAGTAAGACTAGTTTTTGCAGTCATGTTAATTTTATGTCTACATGCATTCATTCGAACCAGATGTGTATAAGAGACAGGGTACATATGCTTATCTGTGGGTTTACGGAAGAGATCAGTTTTAAGTGCACCATTTTCCATGGTCACGGTGATGTCCAAAAAATCTACACTGCTTGTGGATTTGTTAGCAGTGAATTTGATTGTGGGATGAGCCGAATTAATATTCAATAGGAACGTATTCAAACTATCTTCACCATGGGTCCAGATCATGAAGATATCATCAATGTAACGAAACCAAATATCTGGTTTCTTGGGCTGTAGAGACAGGAAATTGGCCTCAAATTGTCCCATAAATAAGTTAGCAAAAGATGGAGCCATTTTAGTGCCCATCGCTGTGCCATGAATTTG